GGAGCCAAGCAAGCTGAAGCTGTTAACAATCCCAATCTCATCATCTATTATGATGCTGCCAATCGGCCCAGTGGTGAGAATCTTTGTTTTCTTGATGTTGAGCTTCAATCTATATTGAAGGCTAAAATCCTTTACCTTCTGCAACAAACACCTCAGGTCCAGCAAGCAAGGTTGTGTTATCTGCATAGCACAGGTTGTTGATGAGTCTTCCTCCAATCCTGATGTCATATTCCTCCTCATAGAGCCCGGCCTCCTGGATAATCTATTCCACATATAGATTGAAAAGGTATGGAGAAAGGATGCATCCCTGGTATACACCTTTCCTGATCTTGAAGCATCAAAAGAAGATAGAAGGAGTACACAGAGTCACTGTACCAAAAAGAATTGGGTAACACAGAAGAATTTCATGAAACAACATATGATCAAAATACAATGGTGATAAAGAAGGAAGTTCAAGCTGCTCTGAAGGAATTGGCAAAAACAAGGCCCCAGGAATTGACAGCATATCAGTTGACATATTTCAATAAATATATGCTGTCCTGAATGTGCTCACCGGGTTGTGTCAAGGAATCTGAAGGACAACTACCTGGCCAACTGACTGGAAGAGATCCTTATTAATCCCTATTCCCCCTCCAAAAAAGGTGATCTGACAAGAGTATGGAAATTGTTGGACCATATCATTAATATCACATGCAAACAAGAACCTGCTGGTGATTATCCAAAAGCTACTGGAACAGCATATCAACAGAGAACTGCCAATGTGTAGGCTGGGTTTAAGAGAGGCTGTGGCACTAGGGCGTTATAGCCAAAGTTAGATGGATCTTAGCTAAAAGCAGAGAGTACCAGAGGAAAGTCAATCTGTGTTTCATTGATTATGCAAAGACATTTGACTGTGTGAATCTCAACAAATTGTGGCTAACCTTGAGAAAAATGAGAATCCCAGAGCACTTGACTATGCTCATGTGAAACCTATACTTGGCCCAGGAAGCAGGTCTCTGAACAGAGCAAGTTAACACTGCAAGATCAGAAAAAGTTTCAGTCAACCTACTGTCTTCTAAATTTCCTGATATAGACTGGTGCACATGTTTATGGCTGTATCTGTTATTTGAAGCATGTCAGTTGGCATCCCATTGATTCCTGGGGCCTTATTTTTTGCCAAAGCTTTCAGTGCAGCTTAAACGGCTTCCTTCATTACCATTGACTCTTATTCATATGATTGTTATTATATGACTCAACCTTACGAGCCTCAGACATGAATCTTGTCCTATCCTCATCATTTCTGACACACTGGAGCCCATTGCTATGTCACTATTCATGTGGTACTTTATGAAATTTTCAGTGCCAATCAATTCTTTTTGGTACAGTGCCTCCATGTATTCCTCCCATCTTCTTTTGATACTTCCTGGATCATTCAAGATTTTCCCTATAGCACCTCTAAGTATTGCAACTTGAAGCTTGAATTTGTTTTTCAGTACTTTTAGCTTTGGAAATTCTGAGCAAATTCTTCCCTTTTTATTCTTCAACTCCAGCTTTTTATACACTCTATTGTAATACTGTGCCTTGTCTTTTTGAACTGCCCTTAGAAATCTGTTTCTCTCTTTTACTTTGACATTTCCTCTTTTTGTTTTGGCTTCTCAGTAATCTGGTGCAATTTCCAGAATCTTTTCTGCTATCTATTTTTGTCTTTCCTTCCTCCTATCTTTGTTATGACCTTTTGCTCTCCTCATAGATGATGTCTTTGATGTCATCACCTATCTTATCTGATCTTCAATCATTAGTATTCAATGCCTCAAACCTATTCTGGAGATGATTTTTTAATTCAGGTAGAAGAGACTTGCAGTTTTATTTTGGTTCTTGTAGACTTGTTTTCATTTTGTTCAGCTTCATTTTGAACTTGTACTTGAATAATTATGGTCTGTTCCATAGTCAGCACCTGACCTGGTCTTGACTACTGCTAGTGAGCTTCTCCAACAATTCTTTCCACAGATGTAATCAATCTGATTCCTGTGCAGTCAATAAGGTAAGATCTATGCGTAAAGACACCTTTTGTGGGTTTAAGGTACATGCAATGAATAAATCATTGAATGACAAAATTCAACCATTCTATGTCCAGCCTTGTTTCTGTCACAAAGACCATACTTTCTAGCCACGATTCCTTCCTTATTATTTCTAAATTTTGCATTCCAGTCACCAAGAATAATGAATGCATCTTGATTGCATGTTTGGTCAGTTTTGGGCTGTAAAATTTGGTAGAAATACTCAATTTCCTGTTCTTTGGCTGTATTTGTTGGTGCTGATTTTTTAATAAATAGTCATACTAACAGGTGTAGTAGAGGAAACATCGGTACACAAGTAATGGCAGATGCAGAGAGGTGTATATTATGCATGAGGCAAACTTTGTTGAAGCAGTGTGTGTATTGTGGTGGAAAGAGTGGAATAGGTTGTAAGAGGAAACTTTGTAGAAGAAACATTTGACCTGGAACTCTGTCAGTGTGAGAAGAGGTGTTCCAAGGGGTTTAAGCCAACAATGGCTAGCAAAGTTCACTGCCATGGGATGGATTCATACTCAGTGCTGAACAGAACTACTCCATAGAGCTGTCACAGTCTTTGCAGAAATAAACAGCCACATCTTTTTCCTGCAGAGCAGCTCAGGAGGCCAGTGAGCTTGAACCTCTAACCTTTCCATTAGCAGCTGAGAGCTGTAAGCATTGTGCCACCAGATCTCCTTCACCAAGTACAAAGGAAATTATAGATCAGACAGACGTGAGCACTGAATTCTTTTGTGAAAGTAGTGAACGATAAGATTGGAAAGGAAAGTAAGGTCTAGCTCCTGAAGGGCCTTGTAAAGTGTATTAAGAACTTTGTTAAGAATCTTGGAGACTTTTGTAAGGATTTTAGAGGGGTTCCTCTACCTAGAGGGTGGAGAATGCTGCCATGTTTGGGCAAAAATTGTTGAGAATCTCAATTTAAAGATCAGTGATGTTGTTGTTATGTGCCATTAAATAGACTGTGACTCACAGCAATCCTATGAACAACAGATCTGAACCCTTCTCTACCCTCTCAGCTGTCCTCACTCTCTCTCCATCATATTAGAGTCCATTGTTACAATCATTGTGTCAATCCATTTTGTTGAGGGTCTTTTTCTCTGTCACTGACCCTCCACTTTTCCAAGCATGGTGTCTGTCTTTCTTCAAGTAGTAGCCTCTCCTAGCAACGTGCCCAAAGTATGTGAAACGGAGCTTTCCAATCTTTGCTTCCAAGGAGCAGTCTGGCTGCACCTGCTCCAAACATGTTTGTTTGTTCTTTTGGTAGTCCATGAGATTTTCAGCACTCTTCTCCAATACAAAAGGCATTCATTGTTCTGTCATCCTTGTTCATTGTCCACCTGTCAGCATAGCAAGTGATTGAAGAGACCGTGGTTTGGATTAGGTGCATCTTAGTCCTCAAAAAAACATCATTGCTTCTCGTTAATTGGAGAGGTCCATGACTACAGCCTTCCCCAGTGCAATGTGTCTCCTGACTGTGGGTACAAAGTGCACTGATTGTGGATCGAAGTAAGATGAAGCTGTCGACAGTGTCAATCTTTTCTCCTGACCCCTAGTCTATTGCTGTTGTTGTTGCTGTTAGATGCCAATGAATCTCCACCCTATGAACAGCCAGCCTGAACCCTGCCCTATCCTATGTCATCCTCATCATCTCTGCTACACTAAAGCCCATTGCTGAAGTCGCTGTGTCAATCTTTCTCCTTGGGAGTCTTTCTCTCCTTGATTGACCATCCGTCTTTCCAAGCATGAAGTCTTTTTCCAAGGAATAGCTTTGTTTTGTTACATGTCCAATTAGGATGGCCTCCTGATAAGACCTCTCCAGAGTACTGAGAAGCAAAGATGTCAGCCTAGAGACTAAGGTGCGCCTGATCCAGGCCATGGTCTTCACAATTACTTGCTATGCATCAGAGAGCTGGACAATGACTAAAGATGATAGAAAAATTGATGTCTTTGAGTTGTGGTGCTAGAGAAGAGTCTTGAACATACATACCCTGGACTGCCAAGGAAACAAGTCTGTGTTGGAGAGGGTAAAACAAATTTCCTTGGTGGCTAGGATTTTGAAGCTTTGTCTCATATACTTTGGGCACGTGGCCAGAAAGGACCAGGCCTTGTAGAAGGACATCATGCTCAGAAGGGTGGACGGACAGTGCAGAAGAGGGAGACTTCCATGAGATCGGTTGAAACAGTAACTGGGGCAATGGGGTAGATGTCAGTGAGACTGGCTCAGGGCAGAACAGGTTTTAGAGTTGTTGTACATAGGGTCGCTATGAGTCGCAGGAGATTCGACGGCACATAAAAATAACAACAGTGGTAAGAAGTTGTGCTGCAATCTCGAAGTCACACAGTTTGAATCCAACCATTTGTTTCGAGAGAGAAGGATGAGCAATTTCCTCCCGTGCGATTAACTGCCTCTGAAAACCCGCTGGAGGGTCAGTTATGGGTCTATTCCGACTCAAAGGTACACAACAACAATAACTCTAATGTAAATACAACATTGGTTCGCCTGAACACCCGGGGAGGTGCCAGGACAACTCCCTCCTCCGTTGGACTCCCTGTTTAGCCCACGTTCGAGGCGGAGCCACATCCTGGGCCTGAGGACCGAGGCCGGGGGAGGAGCTTGACTGAAGCCACGGCTCCCTCCTCTGATTGAGCAGGTCCACTCGGGGGCGGGCTCATCCGGGGAGGGCGAGGTTTGAGGCCACGCCCCCATTGCAGCCCCGACTGCGGGTTTTTTTGCCTCTGCAGGGACGGGGTAGTGTAGGCCTAGGGGCGGAGTATTAAGCCCAGCCTTCGGGTTCTCGTCTCTAACTGGACGAGGCAGGTCCGGGGGTGGAGCCCGCTCTGCTTTTGACAGTTGGTTCTTGCAGAGCCTCAACTCAATCAGGTGAGTTTGAGAACCGGTGCCCCGCTCTCCTCTCCACGCGTCCCCGTCCCCCCTTGGCCTTAGCTCTGGCCATGAAGCGCATCTTCTCCTGCTCCAGCTCTCAAGTGTCGGTAGGTGCCAAAATGTTTGGAGGGAAGGGGGTGGGGCTGAGATCTGAGTCCTAGGTGACCGAAGTCCCGAGTTCTATGTCCACCTACCATTGCCTTTTATCTCTTTTTTTGCTTTTTCTAGCTCTTCTGCTCCCTCACAGGAGGCTCCAGCCCTGCTTTCCACAAAACACTGCCTCCCAAGCTTCTTATTAGCCTCCTATCCCCTGCCCTCTCCAAAGATGTTTCCCTCAGTTCCCTTTTGTCTTTTCAATCTCTACACCTATGTTTCCGGCATCCCCTCCCTTCTCCTGAGGTCTTGCCCTCTAGTTCTGTTTCACGGACTAGAGCCACCTATTAAGCTCCATTCGGTTCGCTATCCAGTCCTGCCCTGCTCCACAGTCCCATCGTCCAGCTTTGCTCTGTTCTCACAAACTTACGCTTCCATATGGCCCTATGTTTGTTGTTCCTTGTCAACCCTAGTTGTTCTTCACAGTCTTCTTAGTCCTCTCACTTTTACAATTCTGTGACACTTACTCCCATCTCTGACTAGCACTATTGATCCTGGGGCATCATTCCAAATCTCTTTCCATTTGATGACACCCTCCCCCCAATAGCATCCTTCTCCTGGTCCCCCCACCATCCTCTGATCCTCTCTACTCAGTGGTCATTCAATCTTATTTTGTCCCTTTTACTGGGACCTTCTCCGGCTTGCTTTCTGTGGGTTAATCTTGCAGCCTGGCTAGCCTGACAGGCACTGCCAGAGGACACACAGTTGCTTGGCTGCTCCCCAAGGAACTGGGTGAGTTGCCTGCAGAATCCACCCCAGCCAGTTCACTGCGGTGTCTGGCCATCAGACTGGTTCTTGGGCCAGTCAAGGTCTTTGGACTGCTTTCCCTCAGAACCTTCCTTTACCCTCAAGCCTCACCTAGTCTTTTAGGGCCTGTGCTCTCTGCCTCCTTTACCTGAGTTGGGGAAAGGTGATGTTGCAAGGCAAAGAGGATCAGGTAGACTCGCTCTAAGGTCACACAACTCTCCATGGTCTTTAGAAAAAAACCAAAACAAAACACAAAGAAGATTACAGAAGGGAGTGGATTAGAGTGAGTGTAAACTCTCCTCTGAAGAGCTCTTACAGAGAGATCAGGGGGTGTAACTTTCTATAGAGATTGAGATTACAGTTCATTTGGAAGTGAATTATCAAATGCCTAACCTGACTAGTGGTGTCATTCACAAGCAAACATGAGAAATGCTCACTTATCTCACTTTGCATGGGCAGGCCACAGAAGACTGGAAGTGAGCTATGAGGCAAGAGTAGGAACTCTGTTGAGGCCTGTCCTTGGCCTATTTACAGTTGCTTCTTCATTTAGTTTCCACACACATGGATCAACCAGTTAAAAGACATTCAGTGAATGACTGGCCTGAGTGTAGAAACTTAGAATGACTACCATGAGTACTAGAAACTGAGGATACCTGAGCTCTGTCTTACTGCATAACAATTTTCTTACTCATACGGATACTTCCCTGGTTTTTTAAAGTCCTCAACACTGCCTGTTCCTTTCAGAAACCTTTATAGAGTCTGTTTCTTGTTGTGACTGTGTGCTGTCAAGTCAGAACCAACTCAGTGGGTTTTCAGAGATAGTAAATAGCACAGAAGGAGATTGCTCATCCTTCTCCCAAATGGCAGTTGGTGCCTCATTCCTGATTTTTCAATCCCTGGACTGTAGGAGCTCCTCAGGCTAGAGTCACAACAAACTGAAAAATAGTCACTTGCAGCTACAAATTGTTGCTTCATGAATCTTTGCACACTTTGGATCATAAATTCTTCCATTCCTTGGTTGGCTAACTACCCTGGACTCATTTGTAAGAGAAATGGAGTGACAGCCTTCCTGATTACTTCCAGAGTGGCTGCCTATGCTAAAAGATTTCCTGTCCTCATCCAGACTCCCCATCCCTGTTTCCTCTTGGGTCCAGATCCCTGGATCGTCAACCTAAGAAAGAAATTGAAAAAGAAGCAGTCATTTTAAAATTCATCTGTTGTCTAGAACATAGGCAGTTTAGCCATCAAATAAACCAAACCCAGCTATTATCTCTTTTGTAAAAAGATTATTTTAGTTAAAAGATGCCTTTGAACGTGTCTCATATATTTAACTCACTCTGCCTATACAGGAAGTATATCAGAAAATCACTTTGAATGGACTAGCTTAGAGAAATATTTATTGCATTTAAAAATAACAAAGGAAAACCGAAAATAACTAAAGGTCAGGTCACGATTCCTTCAGGGCAGACTTTTCATTTCCATTCACCTGGTACTTTTTCTCTACACATCCATCTTGATAAGATGCTAATAACCACACAGCTAAAGATAAGGAGAGGCTGCAATTACTGCTATAAAGGCCCCCTAATGTTGGCTACCGAAGTGCAACGCTTGCCCTTGTTTTTATGTCTGCTGATTAATTCGGTGATTGCTACCTTGAAGCTTGGCATCTACTTCCTAAACAACATGCCTTTGGAAATTCTATGAACATTAGAGAAATGATGATAGTTACAGAACAGGGTTCAGATCTTTTGTTCATAGAGTTGCTATGAGTCGTGCTGGATTCCACTGGCACTTAACAATAACAGCAACAACCTTGAAGTTATGATGATAAACCAGTGCTTCCTTTCCATAGAGCTGGAATGAGCCATGGACTGAACCTTCGAATTTGGAACCATTCCACTGTCCTTCATCACATCTCTGCAGAAGTGTGATCATTTCCACCAATTTTAAACAGTCATTAGAATAATGAAATTATAGAAAGTAAATTGAGTGGAGTATTTATTGGCTCATAAGAAGAAAATGTCTTCTTTCCACTTCCAAGGGGAACTCTGAGGTCAGAAACATCCAAAATGTGCCCAGAAAGACCAAAGAGGATGAATATTAGAGGTAACACTTATTGTTGCCAACCATGTGAAGACTATGCAAAGGCATTTGACTATGTGGATCACAACAAATTGCGACTAACATTCAGAAGAATGGGAATCCCAGAACACTTGACTGTGCTTATGTGAAATCTATACCTAGACCAGAAAGCTGTTGTCCAATGTCCAATACTCCTGAGAAGACTGCATGGTTCAACATCAAGAAATGTGTGTGTCAGGGATGTATCCTTTCCCCATACTTTTTTTTTTCTTCCTATTTTTTTAATTGATTTTAATGAAAATTTACAAAGACTTAGGGTTTCCTGTCATTGTTACACTTTTCTCCCTGCCTACCCCTTCCCCCAAATTCACTCTTCTCCTTGAAAAGAGAAAGAAAAACTCTTTCATTTTTATGCAATCCTTCTCCCCAACTCTACTCCACTATACAGCCTTCACTCTGGACTTCTGTAATGACAAGAATACCCATTCATATGTCCCTTTTAACAGTTCTCTCCCTCATCTGTTTCAATGCAATATACATAATTTCTCCCCTCCTTTTCTGTCTTCCCTCAACCCTGATGTCAGTCCCGTTTTACAGCAGTGGCCCTATGCAATATTTGTCCTTTTGTGACTGAGATATTTCACTCAGCATAATGTCCTCCAGGGTCATCCATTTTGCATAATATTGCGTGAGTTCCTTGTTTTTCAATGCAGCATAGTATTCCATTGTGTGAATAGACCAGAGCTTTTCTATCCATTCATTTGTTGATGGGCGCTTGGGTTGTTTCCAGCTCTTTTCTATTGCGAACAAAGCCACAATAAACATGGGTGTGCATATATCTGCTTGGGTGGCAGTTATGGTTTCTTTAGGGTAAATTCCCAGTAGTGGAATTGCTGGGTCAATGGTATTTCTATTTCCAACTTTTTGAGAAAGTTCCATACAGCCTTCCATAGAGGTTGCATCATTTTACACTCCCACCGACAGTGAATAAGTGCTCCAGTTTCTCCACAACCTTGCCAGCATTTGTTGTTTGCTGTTCTGTTAAATTTTGCTATTCTTACTGGGGTGAGATGATACCTCATAGTTGTTTTGATCCCCATACTTTTAAAATATATATACTGAGAAGATCATATAGGAGGCTGAACTCTATGAAGAAGAATGTGTTATCAGAATTGGAGCAAGACTCATCAACAACCACCTTTCTTATGCAAATGACACAGTCTTGATCACTGAAACTGAGGAGAACTTGAAGTGTTTGCTGCAGAAGATCAAGGACTACAGCCCTCAATATGGGGATTACATCTCAACAGCAAGAAAACAAAAATTCTCATCACCAGGCCAATAGACAGTATCATGATAGATGCAGAAATATTCGAGGTTGTTAATGATTTCATGTTACCCAAACTCATTATCAATACTTTTGGCACAAGCAGTCAGGAAATCAAAAGACAAATTGCATTAGGAAAATTTGTTGTCAAGGATTTCTCCAGAGTACTAAAGATCAACGATATCATTCTAGAGATTAAGATGCACCTGATTGATCTAGGTCATGGTCTTCTCAATTACTTGCTATGCATCTGAAATGTAGACAGTGAATAGAATGACCAAAGAAGAATTGATGCCTTTGAATTGTGGTGCTGGAGAGGAGTCTTGAACATACCATGGACTGTGAAGAGAACAAACAGGTCTATTCTGGAAAAGGTTAAACCAGGTTGCTCCTTGGAGGCAAGGATTTTGAAGCTTTGTCTCACATACTTTGGGCATGTTGCCAGGAGGGACCAGACCTTGGAGAAGGATTTCATACCTCAAAGAGGAGAGTGTCAGCTCAAGAGAGCAAGACCCTGGATGAGATGAATGAATACAGGGACTGTGACAATGGCATCAGGTGTGTCAGAGATGGTGAGATTGGCTCAGGATAGAGCCATTGTTTCATAGGGTCACTATGAATCATAGTCGACTTGACAGCCCATAACAACAATAATAATTCTGTGAAGACTCTGTGCCAAGTATTTTATAGGATGTTATGTCATTAGGAAACAGGTTTGGAAAAGTTGTTACCTGTTGCTGTTGAGTTAATTCTGACTCACAGTGATGCTATAAGGCAGAGTAGTATAGTTGTTGGGTGAGATTGAGTTGGAACTGACCCGTAGCTGAATCTCCAGTGGGTTTTCAAAGGCACTAAATCTCATGGGAGAAGATTGCCCATCCTTCTCCCATGGAGCAGCTGGTGGATTCAAGCCATGAGCCTTTGGGATTGCAGCACAGTTTCCTACCATTAGGCCACCAGAGCTCCCTGGTGCTTACAGTAGATAGAATGGTTGAGCGCTAATCAAACCAACCAGTCATTTCTTGGGAGAAAGATGAAGCAGTCTCTTTCCATAAAAATTTACAGGCTTGAAATCCCTGCAGATAATTCTTCTCTGTCCTGTTGGGTTGCTCTGAATCAGAATCAACTCCATGGCAGTGGAGATTGCCCATCTTTCTCCTATAGAACAACTGGTAAGTTCCAACCACCTAGCTTTCTGTTAGCAAATGAATACTTAACTATGCCCCCAGGGCTCCTGAATTCACTGAGACAGCAAGTGTTAGAGCCAGAATTGCAAACAAATAACTTAGGTTGAGGTCAGTTGACAGCTATGCTGTATGATGAAAATGGAGGTCTAGCTGTTTGCTCTTCCTGGGAGTGATCTGATGATAAGGTATTGAATAATGTGTTCTTATATCTCAGTCTGTCTGATTGTAGAGGAATCATTTTGCTTATTTTGTCCTTTGAGAATTAATATTTGAGGACTATTCTCCAGGTAAGGAATAGTTACTCTAAAGATCATAATACACTGTTTATCTAGAAATTGACAAACTTTCCTCTGTAGCTTTCTTCCAATGGTAAGAACAAGGTTTGAATACCAGGTTCCTGGGTTCTATCTTAGCCCTACCACTATTTTGTAGTATAAGTTTGAACAGTTATCTAACCTCAAGGTGCTTCAACGTCTGTCAAATAGGTATAATAATATCATCTGTAACTACTCTCTAGGGATGTGGAGAGGCTAATTGAAGTAACACTTGAAAGGTTAGGAGGAATTACAAGTTCTCTATTGGAGCCTGACCTCAAAATCCATCCACCTGAAACATTTTATGGTTTGAACATTTAAAACCTTTAATGTTGATGATGAATAATTTGCCCTGGTTATATAAACAGTATTTGAAAGTGAGTTATTGGGCTTCCACAGGCCCTACTTTTTCCCACCTCATCCTCCAGCCTCTTTCTTGTTGGGATCACACTTCATAAGGTATAATGTATGCCACCGCTTCCACCACTTCCTGTTTTGTTATTGGGCTGCCATACATTTGCCTAGCTTTTTACAGTTTACAAAGAGATTTTAGGTACATTAGCTCATTCAATACAATCTGAGGTAGTTATTAATATCCACATTTTATAGGTGAGGAAACAGACTAAAGATGTTTAGCATCTTACAGATAGCTGAGAAAGTAGCTTAACCAAGTCTGAGCCCAGGCCAACTGAACAAATATTTGTTAGACCCTTTCATCTTACAGGCCCCTTGTTCCTCTCTTCTCTACTCCCTGGGCCAAACCAGGCTTTCCTGTACTTTCAGCCCTGAGTGTTTTTACACAGCTCTCACACACCCTATGATACTTCAATTATTATAATTACTCCACCGCCAGCAAAACTCAAGCTGGAATGCTAGAACAATGCAAGCAAGGTGTGGCTGTCGCCAGGAACAGCTGCTCCCTGCCTGAGATGAGGAGGGAGTGGGGAGAAAGGAGCTGCTTCTTGCTGCCTCCTCAAGAATACCCAGAATCCTGTCTTTGCTTTCTGGTTGTTGTTATCATGAAAACGAAAGGGAGACTAGCTGAAGGACAGAGATGTGAGATATGAAAACAGAAACTCTTATGTTTCTCCTCCCAATTCTGGGATCCAAAGCCAATAAATAGGTAGAGATAGTACAGCCAGGTGTGAACTCCTCCTACCTATGACCTCAAACTAGGGGCTTTGATTTGCTTCTACATTGTTGTTGTTAGGTGACATTTAAATTTATTTCAACCCATAGCAACCCCGTGGGACACAATAGAAGGGCCCTGTAGTAGTGTTCTTTTAGAGTTTTTAAATTTTTTTTTTTAAATGTGTTGTGTGCCGTTGAACCAGATCTAACTGGCACAGGAGGATTGTCCCTCCTTCTCCAGCATCTGGTGGATTCAAAATGCCTGCCTTCAGGATTGCAGTGCAGCTTCTTGCCCCTAGGCCACCAAAGCTCCCTCCCATAGTATTTTCTAGGCTGTGACAACTGAGGTGAAAAAGCAGAGCAGCATGGGAAGGTGAGAGGCAACAAGAGTCCCAACAGAGTGGTCAGTTTCTTCTGTTCTGAGGAGCAAAGGAGAAAGGAATTGTGTTTAGGATTGCTCTGAAGTTGGGCTCCTAACACCACCAATAATCATAATGATGATTTGTAAAAAACTAACTTGAAGGGGAGCTCTGGTGGCCTAGTGGCAAGAAGCTGCACAACAATCACAGATGTGCCTGGTTCGAATCCACCAGATGCTCTGCTGGGGAAGGAGAAACAATCTCCTCCTGTACCAGTCAGATCTGATTTGACAGTACAATGCGCAAAAAAATAATAAAATAAAATTTTTTTAAAAAAACACCAAAAAAAACAAACCACCCCTAACTTGAAATACTATGCATTCAATACTTATAATTTTTTTAAATAAAATTTTTCTTTTATACTGGTTT